GTGAACTTGAATTTGAGTCAGTTATCAGGTGTGTGTGTGTGTTTTGTGGTAACCCTTCTACTTGCTTTATCTAAAAAGGGCATGTTTTACCCTAGCTTTACACTAGAGAATGTAGTTCTTTTTTTTTTTTTTTTGTCTGTCTGTTTGTTTGTTTTAGTACAAGAGATTGAAGCTAGGGGTACTCTTCCACTGAACCACATTCCCAGTCCTTTTTACTTTTTGGGGGAGGGGATGAGTACTGGGGATCGAACTGAGGGGCACTCGACCACTGAACCACATCCCCAGTCCTATTTTGTATGTTATTTAGAGACAGGGTCTCACTGAGTTGCTTAGTGCCTGCTTTTGCTGAGGCTGGTTTTGAACTTGGCGATCCTCCTGGGATTATAGGTGTGCACCACTGCTCCCAGCTCTTTTTTACTTTTTGAGACATAGCCTCTCTCTAAGGTTGTTGTGCCTGGCTTCAAAATTGGGATCCTCCTGCCTCAATCTCCCAAATTGTTGGGATTACAGGAGTCCACAACTATACCCTGTGTGTTCTCTTTTGTTTTGAGATGGGAYCGTGCTATGCTCCTCCAAGCTTTTCTTCAACCCTTGGGCTCAAGAGATTTTGTCTCATCCTCCTAAGTAGCTAGAAACCACAGACATGCTGCCATGCAGACAGACTCTTCCTCTATGGGTCATCTCATCTAGTTGATGCCAAATTATATGTCCAGTTGCACCTGATTGCTGGAGTATCTCACTCATGCAGAACAAAAACTTCACATTGGATGTTTCTGCACATCATRTACACAGCATCCAAAGCAGGCTTCTGATTTTTGCCACTGGTCTAGCCTGCCCTCCTGTCTCTGGCATGTTTATTGTTGGCCCTGATTGTTGACCAGGGGTTTAAGCCCATTCCTATGGACTCTTGGAAAGAGTCCCACCTTCAGCATCCTTGAGTCTGAATGCTTTCCTCCATGGCTTCCACTGAGCATAAACCACCTTTTCTTCTCTCTSCAGCTGTAACTGTCTACAGCAGTGTTCTTACATCATTGTCTCTACCCGAGTTTATTTTTCACATAGCAAAATTTCTTTTTAAGATGGGAATTGTGTCATTCCATCCATGCCCTTGTTGGAACCATAATAAGCCTGAGTGACCTAYCCCTTCCTGTCCTTCTGCCTTGCTGTACTCGGTTGCTCTGGAAGCTCCACCCCCATGGCATTGCTTTCTTTGAACTTGCTCATTTGCACATGCTGTCACCTTTGCCTGATCATCTTCCAGATCCGGCGTTTCATTTTCTTCTTAAGTCTTTCCTCTGCTCCTATTAAAACACCAAAGATATATAGTGGCGTGCATTTGTAATCTCAGCTCCTTGGTAGCTGAGGTAGGAGGATCCTTGAATCTACTAATTCAAGCCAGTCTAAGCAGCACAGTAAGACTGTCTCAAAAACAACCAAACCAAAACCAACCAACCAATAAAAACAATCAAAATAATGCCACCCTCTTAGTCCCACTCTATACCCATACCTGCTTTTTTTTTTAATGCAAGGTACCATGTGACTTTGAGTTCACTTGTTTAGTGTCCTTTTAGAACAAAAGCAGATGTTCTATGTTTTTGCATTGTACCCTGGTGTCTGTCCTAAAAGAAGACCSAGTATAGAGTAGATAACCAGATGTTTTTGGATGTCTCCCTTGGCCAGTACTTTCCCACAGGTCTGCCCAGATGCTGGAAGTTGTCCTTGACCTTTCACCCCATCTCCTGCCTAGCCTCTGCCTCCCCAGCCCCAGCAGTCTTACCATCTCTCTGTTCCTGGCAGCTCTGTTCCAAACCGCTGCCCTCTGTCTCCTCATTGCCTTCCCTGTTCCTTGTGTCTCCTCCCATGTACACTTGGAGTTGGTCCTCGGCTCCCTGTCTCACCCACCCTGGCCACCTGGCCTGCTGGCCTCAGTGCTTGCTGCCACAGTGCTCTTCCCCAGGTGTCTGATGGCTTCAAGGATCTCCTTAAGTTACTTCCTCAAGGAGGTCCTTGCTGCCACCCTAAGTGAAAGCGTTCTGTACCCAGTACTAGGCGCTTTTTCCTGGTTTGTGTTTTTTCCTCATCATTTGCCCCTATCTACTATTGTTCATTTTTACTAATTTATCTTATTTGTTACTTTGTCTTTTGAAGAGCATATTAGCTCCTCAAGGGCAAAGATCTTTGTTTATTCACCTCTGTCCCAGTGCCTGGGCAGTCATGATCTCCCAGCAAGTATCAGGACAGACAACAGGGTGCAATGCAAAGAACAGAGAGCATCTGCATTTTGTTCTAAAGGGACACTAAACTTTGAATACCCTGATCCAAAAAATCTGAAATCCAAAATGCTCGAAAATATGAGACTTTTCAAGTGCGGATGTGACAACTAGTAGGGTTTTCAACATGTAACTTCATGTGTTGAGTGACAGTCAAAACTTAGGTGCACTTGAAAATGTTATATGAAATTACTTTCAGTCTGTGTATAAGATGTATATGAAACAAATTTTTCATGAACATAAATTTTGGGGCCCATTCCCAAGATATCTTACATATATGTAACTATTTTAACCCTGAAAATATCTGAAACACATGTGGATCCAAGCCTTTTGGATTAGGGACACTGCCTATAATGAGTGACGAACATGTGAGCCCAGTACCTGATATTTCAGGGCCATGATGGCTGTCAATTATAGTGTTAATCTGGGACTTTGGTAACCATAAAGCTCAGCAGGGCCCATCAGGTCTGATGGTTGTGGCTATTCTGCTGGGGGCGAAGGTTGTTTTCCAGGATTAGGGAAGAGAGGTAGCTTTACAAAGGGTTAAATCAGTGAGAATTTTGAAATCCTCATAATTTATAGAATTCTCATATCTGTCAGTACAGAAAAAGACATCTGCTTTCCTATATTCTGTGTGGTTGGGGTCTGAAGCCTGCAAGGACATGATTGGCAGCCATTGTTTAGTTCTTTCCCAGCAATCTCCACACACTAAATTGTTCACTGAGCCAGGTTTGGTTAAACCACAGAACTTTATTGGTGTGATAGGGCACATAGTTTCAATCACTCTTTTATAAAAGCATGTAAGAATGTAACGAGTCATTTGTACTGAGAGGTGCTGTCATTCCTTCCTTCCTTCCTTCATTTGTTGAGCCTCTGGGGCCAGTTATGCCAGTGCACACTCATGGTCCAGTTGAACACTGGTGACAGAGAGCCACAAGAGTAGGACTTGGCTGGGTACTGGAAGAGACTCTGGAGCCTTTGTGAGAAACCACAGTAACTTTGCTGTAGGTCTTAATTCTCCTTCACACCTGATGCACTGCTGCAGGGGCCCTCCAGAAGGCAGGGCAAACCAAGGGGGYGTTGGTGCTGTGTAACCCTGTGGTGTGCTGTGGCTTTGAGCACAGACAGGTAGTGCTGGCTCCTATAAGTTGCTGCCTGGCCCTGCCCACCCACTGCCCGGTGCCTCTGTCTCCAGTACCTGCARGTGTTCATCATCAGGTGCAGAGCAGGGCCATCTTGGGGTTCTCTGATTTGGGTTAAAATCCTGCCTGCTATCCCCACCTATTAGCCTTAAGCCCATTTCCAAACTCCTCTTTTTCTCTGCTCTGTGTGTATGTGTGTTTCTAAAAACTTAGTTTTACTTTTCTGAGAGGATGATGATAACCTTTTGAAAAGGATGTAGGGTAATCTTGCCTCTGCCATTCTGGTGCTTTCTCATGGTCTGACCATGGTATTGACAATTTCTCTTGAGGGGAAGTAACGAAGAAGTCTAGGCAAAGAATTTTCTAATTCCTAATAAAATTTTTCATATGTTGTTACTTCTTTATTTCAAGTTTTATATGAGTTTCTAAAACATGAGGTTCAGTTTTATTTTACAAATTTTCTATTCTTTTTCTTTATATAAACATAATGTGCACTTATTTTAGAAAATATATATATCTATACATATATTTACATATATRTATATATAAAACAACCTTGGCTTTATGAATCAGGTTTTGAAAATAGAATTTTTTTTTCTGTTCCAGACTCCTTTTAGTTTTGGCATGAATCATAGGACACCACCCTACCCCGCTGGGGATTATTGTCTTCTGTGCAGAAGTGAACGGAAAGACCCTTCATTCTTAGAGAGTGGAGTTAAGACTGCGAGCAAATTGGCCCTTTCCATGGCACCCAAGGGCAACAGCGTGCTGCACCTGCCGCTGTGGGTGTGCCCGGACTGCCGGAGAACTGTGGAGAAGGAGGAGAGGCACGGCGGCCTTGACCAGCCGGTGAGTGGCTGCCAGCGCAAGCAGGCTCATCGCCCTCTCTGTGGGATGTGGGTTAACTGGCAGCAAGAGGAAAGCAGCTGCACCTGCTTTTAGGGTACTCCCTTCTGCACTGTCTTCTGGCCTAAATTCCACCCTCCTGACCTTCATGGCCACAGGTGCAGGAGGTGGTGGGCATCTGCTCTCCTTATCGGGACAGTCAACAAGCTTGTGGTCCCTGGCTGATTTTGACTTTCTTAGTTCAAGCTTAGGATTTCTTTCATGGTGCAGTTCCCTACAAAGCTGGTAGGTCTTTTGTGTGTTTAGTTCTAGACAATTCCATGGGCTGCTAACTCACCTGAAATTGTTCCTAGCATTTGATTCTTAAGCCTGGCCTTCCCCCTTTGCTTTATCCTATGCCACAGGTTATGGAGGCTATCTTGAGGCTGTTGAGGTAGGGTGGGGCCCTTCTTCTCATCTTGGACCTAGATGGAGTCTTAGTGGCCCTTGTTCTAAAAATGCTTTGAGATCTATTGTTTAGGTTCCAGGAGTTGGCTTTTGTAACCATTTAAGGCCCCACATCTATTCCCAATTTCTGCTTGCAAGCAACTAATTGTTTTCTGAGCTCTATCTTTTCTGATCTATATGTGGCCAGTAAAAGGCAACGATCAAGGTGTGGCTGTGGCTCAGTGGTAGAGTACTTACCTAGCATGTGTGAGGCACTGGGTTCGACCCTCAGCACCACATAAAAATAAATAAATGGAATAAAAAGGTATTGTGTCCATCTACAACTAAAAATATTAATAATAATAAAAAAAAGCAACAATCACTGCCTTCTGTTTTCTAAGGTGGGACTACTTTCCAATTAGTCCCAGTGACAGTCAAGGAGCATTTGGCTGCAGTGCTGGTGGCTCTTCATACCCTGAGCTTCATTCACCTGGTTCTTTGCTGCTGCTACCCAGCTGTTCAGCCAGGGATTCCTTGAGGGCAGTATCSTGAATAGTAGGCTTTAAGTCAATAAACCTTGGGCCTCATTGTTTACCAAACTAAAGGTAGCTTTCCCACTCAGCCCCCTCTTACAAGCCCATTTCCTGCATTATTTCTATTCGTTTGAATTTTCCCTTAATTGTCTCCTCTTTCTTCTTTACTGGAATTTAATTGAAGGCAGGCAGCCACCCCTCCCCCCACCTCTTTTTTGCCAAGAGCAGTGCCTAGTCTGATGCATATTAGGTACTTCAGAATATTTGAATTAATGAGTAAGCAAATGATGAACAAAGGAGTGAATGCACTGACCCTCATTAGAGATTAAAACTAGAGCCCAGGTTTAACCCTCGGTAATGCCCCTCTAAAAAAGAGAGAGTTTATAGTCAATCGGAAGTTTTTTCCCCCTTAGACATTTTGCTTTTATTATTTTATTTATTTATTTATTTATTTTTTAAATATTTATTTATTTATTAGTTATTGGTGGACACAACATCTTTGTTGGTATGTGGTGCTGGAGGATCGAACCCGGGCCGCACGCATGCCAGGCGAGCGCGCTACCGCTTGAGCCACATCCCCAGCCCTGCTTTTATTATTTTAAAAACTTATTGGTTTGTTTTATTTTGTTGCTGGGAATTGAACCTGGTGTGCTTTACCTCTGAGCCACATCCCTAGCCCTTTTGAGACAGGGTCTTGCTAAGTTCCTGAGGCTGACTTTGAACTTGTGATCCTCCTGCCTCAGCCTCCCGAGTACTGGGATTGTAGGTATGCGCCACCACACACAAAAAATGACACATTCTATTGTCATTTTTCATGTGATAATTTTCTGTGTCCACTTAAAAGTATTTGGTATTTCCTTCATTATTWAAATGGAAGACTGTTTAGTTTACAGATGTCAGTTTGTTTCCTATTCTCTTCCAGTCCATGTTCTAAGTCCTTCCATTGGCTAAACCTATTTATTTATTGTTTTTTTTTTTTTTTTGGTTTTTATGTGTCCTGAACATTGTCATCTTTCCTTCCTGTTCCAGCCCTGCTCTGGTATTCAGCCTGTCTGTGCCCTTGGGAATACTGCTGCTGTCCCCAGTACACAGGCCTGTGGCATTGCCTCTGTTTCACATCATCAGTTGTGCTTTGGAGCCTCTTGTGCCCTGGCTGGCAGTTGTCCTGATGACGATCATCTGTCCAGCGAGGCTTTCTCCCCCCACTCAAAATAGCAACCACAACTTCTACGGAGCTGCAGTGCTGGCATATGTGTGTCCATGGACTACCCATTGCCTTTGTAGATAGACTTCTTTGTGGACACTGGTTTTAGATCACTGATATTTTTAAATTATGATGATTTACATACAGTAAAAATTCACCACTTTTTTTTTTTTTAAGAGAGAATTTTTAATATTTATTTTTTAGTTCTCGGCGGACACAACATCTTTGTTGGTATGTGGTGCTGACCACTTGAGCCACATCCCCAGCCCACACCACTTTTTAAAAATATTTTATTTTTTAGTTATAGATGGACACGATATCTTTATTTTTTATGTGGTACTGAGGATCAAACCCAGGGCCTCACATGTTCTAGGCGAGCACTGTACCGCTGACYCACAACTCCAGCCCTCACCCTTTTTTCTTTAAAAATAAAAATAAAACCACAAAAATTTCTCATTATCAGGGTTAAGATACAGAAAGAACATTTGCATCACCTTGTAAAGATCCCTTGTTTCCCTTGGTAGTCAGTATTTGGCCTCTACTCTGGTCCCTTGTAATCATGGACCTGATTTCCCCCCATAGTTCTGCTTTTTCTAGAGTGTTCCATAAATTCTGTCATTTGGCACAACATTCTGGAGGGTCATCCATGTTGTTGGATGTGTCAGTAGTTTGTTTCTTTTTATTGTTGAAAGCATTGTGCAGATACACCAGTTTACCCATTCCCCAATTAATTGATGGATCTTTGGGTGGTTTGCAGATTTGGGCTGTTTTGTAAAAAAGCTGTGAAGGACATTTTTATACAGGCCTTTCTGTGGACATTCTATTGGCTTGTTGCTGCATTGATTTGCTAGAATTTTACCAAGGACTTTGCTTCTGTGCCCATGAAAAATGTCTGCCGGTACTCTAGTSTTGCAATGTTCAGGAAAGAAGTTAAAATGTGTCCCTGTGGGCTGGGGTTTTGGTTCAGTGATAGAGGGCTTGCCTAACATGGATGAAGCACTGGGTTTGACCCTCAGCAATATAAAAGTAAATAAACCAAATAAAGGCATTGTATCCATCCACAACTAAAAAAWAATAAATAAAAAATAAGAAGTGTGTCCCTGTTTCTTCTCCCTTTTGGGGGGAGATCTGTGCAGAATTGATACCACATTTCCTTAAGCATTCTTGCGCTCTGCTTATTTCTTTCTGTTAGGTCAACTGTAGACAGTAGAGAGCCCCAGCCTGAGGGAGCTACTGGCTGTGCATCTGTGAGGCTGAGTGAGCCCTTTGGCTGGATTGTCTGCAATGGTGTGTGCTGCACCCTTGTATCTCTGTGGACCTGGGGTTGGGTCTTTCTCTACTTTCTACTTGATATAGTTCACTTTTTCAGCCTGAGTCGGGGCAGCACTGTGTTTGGGGCCTCAAGGGCAACTTTCCTGGCAAGTTGCCCCTGCCCCATCAACCAGATTTTGCCTTGTTTCTGCAGGGGTCTGGCCTTCACTTTTCTCTGTGCTGGTCTACTGCCTCTTTCCAGTACAGAGAGCTGTTCCTCTCCTCTCAGCCACTGGATAAGGCTTGGCCCTGGGCATAGGGTGCCTGCCCTCCCCAGCCCTAAAGGCTTTTGCTTCCTATAGAAGAAAGGTTGGTCAGCAAGGTGGGTGGCTTCTTTTGCAGTCTTCCTGGGAATCCTTCGGGGCTTCCAGGGATTATATTCCTGGCTGGCTACACTTATTAAGCTGTTTTTTTTCCCCCCTGCTTTTATGGCCTCCTTCTATATTCTTTACTTTGCCAGAGGCAAAGCCCTTCCTCCTTGGAAGGGCTTGTTGCCCCTTGTTGTAAAATTTGTCTGGTAGCCAGGTCACTTCTGTTCTTGGTTGGCCCCAAGTTAGATTTTATGAACTATGGTTCTGTCTCATTAGGGTGGGAGCTCTAAGAGCACTGTTCTCTTGCAGCTTTCTGACCCCCTACGGAAAGTGGGACTGAATTGTTCTAGAGATACACATTGTGTGATTGCTGGTGGTCATAGTAGGTCAGTGGTGGTTTTTCCCCTGCCTCCCAGTTTCACGTTGTGTATTTCCCCAGATTCACCTGTAGTCGCCCTTCTGTACATTCTCCTGCCTGGACACCATTTCCAACGTTCAGCAGGTGTCTGGGCATGAGGCATTTTSTGTGGCTTAAGTGCAATGCTGTCTTCTGCTACCTTAGTTCTCTGACAGCCACATATGTCTCTAGGTGTGACTTCTGCTTGAGCTTTTTCAGTGAATAAAGTTAGTTTTGTTAAGTTACATTCTTAGGAGATGTTATAGTTATTTGTAAAAAGTTATTTTCAATTCCTGTTTTATCTGCAGATGTTTGTTCTTCTTTTTTTTTAATCTTTATTTAGAGCCATCCCCGCCCCCCCCCCAAGAAGCAACTTTTTCTTTTATATTTTAAAATTATATTTTAAGTACTGGGGATTGGATTCAGGCTGCTCTACATGAAGCTAYATCCCCATCCCTTTTTGTTTTTTATTTTAAGACAGGGTCTTGCTAGGTGGCCCAGGCTGGCCACAGCCTCAACACAGGTGTGTGTTTGCCACTGTGCCTGGAACAACTTTTTATATTAAAAAATATTATTTCTTTATTTCGTTAATTATTACTATTTTATATACTATATATATGTGCAGTTGGTTAATTAATGCTATGGTAGACATCATAGAAAAATTTTAGAGGCATGAAGGAGAAGTAGAGCAAAGTAAATTTCTTCCAGCATCTGCGTCTTCATTTTCTTTACCTCCAGAGGGCTCTGCTCCTGACAGGTGATTGTGTCTTCCTCCAGAATGTTTTCGTGGCAGGTGGTAATTGCAAACACCACAGTGTCTT